GCTGTTCAACATAATGATGACTGGTAGATAATTAGTTATTAGTGGTACTGCATTTTAATTTTAGAAAGTGCAAATCTGCTTATGAATTATAAAAAATAATAAGACTGCTAAAGCACAAATGAAATATTTAGGTCTGTAATTAGTGGATTTGTGCTTTAACAAACTGGTGTCCACCACTGGTTTCAGACATGCTGACGTCTCTGTTCTTCATGTGTTTGGAGTCAGTGCAGTCTCATGACTCAACATGTGTAGTTTTGTTTACACCATAATTAGGTGTTTGATGGTTTTAGGTCAGGGAGTGCATGTCTACCAGCAGCACGTCTTTGTGGGGAGAAGAAAAATAACTTCACAGAGAGTCTGTTCAGTGAAGGAGAGAACAAAGCTGATCTTTCTTCCAGGTTGGACTGCACCAGGCCCTGGTTCAGAGGGAGCTGAGTGTCATTCTGATCCAGCTGGGGGACACTGGGCCTCAGGGGTACACACACCTCCTCCCTGGGCTGCAGCATCTGATTCGTAAGAGCGCCCCCATCAGGTGGCCAGAGGGCACACGGGCAGCTGCCGCCTGGAACTCCCACTTCTGGAAGAGAGTACGATTCCTGATGCCTGCCACACCTACCAAGAGATGTGAGCTCTCTGCTCTTCTATAAAGTCACCAGTATGTGAAATTATATAAAAACCTGGAGATGTTTTTAACCAAACCTGTTGGAATGCTCTTTACACTCATCTCTCTGACATCTTATGTTTATTAGCTGCACGAGAAACTTCATGATTATCTCAATAAGGAAGAAACAGAAGAATTTTTCATGTAAGATTTGGTGCTCAGAGATGGTTTTTTCTTAAGCAATGTTTATCTTTTGTCTGTTTATCAGATTAATTTACTTATAACGACTGAAATTTAGTGTATTTATACATAAGGACTGTTATAAGTTATATAAAATAAAATACACTTTTGCTATAAATGTGAAATCATTTGCGAAATTCATTTTAAACAACATGAATTGTCTTTTAATGCAAGAACTGTTGTTTGTTTCAAATATTTGACCATGTTATAATTTTACTTACATACAAATTAAGGTCTTGTTTATAAAAAATGTTCAT